AGAAGTGATATCAATAATAAAACATAACTGAGTTGCCACAATTGATTAAAGTTTAAATAAGTTTTATCTTCATCTTTGTACTGTGGCCACCACTGCATGTGAGCCTCTGCCAGCATTGATGTACAAGGACCATTCAAGTCAGTGGAAATCTTCCACACGCCTTGACTTGTTTTCTGATCTAAACTTCACAGTAAGAATGAACCAGAAGTGTTGTTAGACTTGTACTAGACAAAAGATAACTCAAAAAAATAAATTAAGGAAGGAAAGCTGCTTATCTTCATATGCTTTTATTCTGTTTGGATCTATAGGCAACTATCACAAGACACTGTTTTAAAAATATGCAAATGTGTATCTTACACAGCAAGAAATATGCAGAAATGAAATTTAAATACTAAACATTTTCTTCTTCATTTCCCTCTAGCCAATCATTGTGCACAGACAGTTGCTTAGGATTTGCTTGCTTATACAACATGCTTAGGAGCAGCCTATAATAATATAATTTCCTTTTAATCATGTGCTGATAAAATTTCCTTTAACTCATCAAATTAAAAGCATAAGTATATATACAGACACAAACATACACACATGCATGAAAGATAAATGCACAAATCATCAGACTGTTATCACACACTCCCGTTTTGCAAAGAAAAAAACTTGAATGAATCCTTCATTTACAGCAGAATATTTTACCAGTTTGCAAAACTTATACATCTTTTACAGCCTTCCTGATGAAAACATTACTTTATTCATTGTGTTCTCATTCCCACAAAGCTCTATTCAATGAATTTTTATGGATATGGATGGTAGCTGTCAACCAAAGTGTCAGTGGATAGAAAAATCTCTATAATGTCTAATGCAGAATGTGTAGGGTATCATAATATTTCAACTACTGATTTTTATGTGAAAATGTAACTGTTTACAGCAGAGGAATGGCATATCATACTGCACTCAACTCTTTATAACAGTGATTTATGGCTCATTGCTTAATCATCAGGCTAATAAACTTATTTTCTAGAGTGAATTCAAAGCAGAATGAAACAAACCATAATTTCAGTAACCACTAATTAAACAAAGGTGGTGTTATGTTTGGGATTTGGCAATTCTCACCCACTAAAGAAAGAGGATTCTTCCTCTTAGCTGTAAAACACCACAATGAAACCTCTGTGCCATTCGATATAATTACAGCTCAGAAGAAAATTGCTGAGCTACTGGCAATACACACCCTGCATCTAGGTCAGAGCATTATGTTGCTCACTCTTTGCAAAACACGCACACTAACCAAGCTGAGACAGACATTATAATGAAACCGGGATAAAAGGGCTTGCAAATCTTGAAATGAAAGGGAAAACAGAAAACCTAATGAAGAAAAATAGCCTAATCCATCAGGGCAGGGGCAAGACAAGGGAAGCATTCATAGTTTGCTATGGCAAAGGCAGGAGGCTAAAAGCCAGCAATGAAGATCATTTCCTGAAGAACTATTTAAATCTATAGTCAGAGAGAAGATAGAAGGAAGCTCTCTCTAGCCAAAAGGCAGAAAGTAGAAGCTTTCCTACCAAAACACAAGCCCATCAAAATGTGGCACTCCAAAGATGTACACACCCTAAAAAAAATATGCACAACTCTCTTAAAAATTACTCACGCTTCCCAAATGCACACATACATGTGTGTTAGAAGTGTCCATCCTCCTTTTATAGCTCCAAGTAACTAGTTACAACGGAGGAAAATAAATACCTACCTTTCAATGCATAATCCAGTCCTAGCAAACTCAGATGCACATGCAAAGAAAAATAATTCACACATGCTCTAAGGCTCCAAAAAATTACACAACCTATGAATAGTTCAAAAATAGTTCAAAATAAGCAGCATGCCTCTCACCCTCCACTTGCGAAAAGTTGTGCATTATTTAACCTCAAAAGGCTTAGGTAAATTTCCCATGCCACAAGGTAACCTTGATTTTTCAGGAATAATCCTCATGCCGAAGAAATACCACTGTCCCTGACACAGCATCGCACAGATGGACAGCTCATCCCTCCCTTCTCCTTCTCCGTGCATTTGTGTCTCACCAGATGCAGAATTGCTTACCTGGAGAGTCATGATGCTGCGAGGATGCCCAGGGAACGACCTTGCTCCTTCTCCAGCAGGGACGCAGCGCTTCTGCCTCTTGGCTCCTGTGGCGTGAGCACGGCGGCCGCGCTCCACGGAGGGTGTTGGGCTGGATACAAGTGACCTCAGCTCACCTGCCGCAGCAAAGCCACGCCGCGGCAGGACACGGGGGTTCGCTCCCCCTGCGCCTCTCGGGACCTGTGGGGACAACAGAGTGGCCACCAGTGCCCAGGAAGGGACAGTGGGGGCATTACGCGTTAAGCCCACACCGGTTTCTTCAAGAAAGCCTGAGCTCATTTCCATACCCCTGAGGATTAGGCCACCAGCCTGAGAGCAGAGATACAGCATGATTTCCGAGCCATCTGTTTGAAAAAGGTATTTCCTGAGTGATTTGAACCACAACCAGCCCAGTTATTGCTGCTGTTCCCTCTGCTGCAGCCCCTGCCCGTGCCCATGCCCAGCCCTGCCTGGGACCTTGCATCCTCCAGCTGCAACTCTGAAAAAGATGTGGGTCATCCTGGAGATACCACACACGAGCAGTTACACACATCAAATACCTTGAAAATGCTGTTTTTGTCTTTGCTCTACTAAATACAGAATAAAAAAGTAAGTATTAAATGAATTGAGAAACTAGCCTACAACTGTAAGCATTAAAGGAGAAAAAAACCCCACCCCTGCACATCTATTGTATCAATTAATAAATTATTTTTATTCACGCCTCTATATATAGTCACCATTCCTTGAGCATGGTTTAATCACAATACTATATGCTTCAGCAGTTTTAAATCCACTAACCTCCATAAACCCGTGTAAAAAGTGTTTCCCCTCAACTTAAGCCCAGGTTAAATTAAACCAGGACTCAACGAGAAAACAAATCTCAGTAAATAAAAGGAGATTAAAAAAAAGAGTGAAAACAGCTCCATCAACTCTCCAACACCACGAAGCGACGGCGCCGGTGAGTTTTGCTGGGGAAACTCTGCCCCTTCGGGTACAAGAGGCTGCGAGCGCGCTGCGCCCCAAGGGGAGTACAGAAACCCGAACGTGTTTGTAAGGAGTTGTTAATGGCTACGGCAGATGGTGGGAAATGCTGAACGCAAGCAGTTCTTACCTGCCGTCTCACTGTTAGTTACAGAGCACGAGTAACGCGCAACGCGCCGCACGCCACACGGCAGCGAGAGGTGCCCCTACTGCTGTAACGTCCTAGGAAGCACCTGCTGGCTTGACTTGGCCGGCACTGCATCCCAGGGCGTGCGACACAGCAGACCTACCCCCACCTATACAGCAATTTACGGTCGCGTTCCAGCCGAGGAAACGCCAGTGCTAAACCCGCCGGGCGCAGGCTTCTCGCCCCGGCATTTTAACGCCGCCTTTCATCGGGCGGCAACGCGCCTTCTCCATCCGGTACCGGCGGCAGCCCAGGGGCGGGCAGCCAGGACGCGGG